AACTATTCAATGATTACATGCATGAGTCCATTTGCAATTTTAAAGTAAAAAATTGAGTAATAAATTTCCTTCAATAATAACACAAGCCATAAAGTGAATAGTAAACACATCTTTTGCAAACAGGGGACAGTTGTATAAAGCTCTTAACTGCTTTTTAACTACACTTTTTGCAGTTAAAAGGTAGTTAAAGTTAACCATGCTATGGAGCATTGTATCTTCCATGGTAAAGGCTTTTTAGAATAAGACCTTCGTGGACGGTGTACATGCGCCTTTGCCTGTAAACATTTCAAGTTTTGCCTACAAAAAACAGCCAACAACTTTATCGTAATAAATCCTTTTAAACGAGGCAATAGCATTTCGTATTGTCGTTTTTAGGTCAAAAGCGCTTTTATTGTATATTCATTGTATACCAGTGTATAGTCATTGTAAACAAACTTGTCATTTATAACTGTAAGTTCATAAAATGTTTTTAATTTTTAGTAAAAGTTCATGAAATGTTCACAAAATTCTTTTTCTTTACAAAAATTCAAAATAAAAATCAAAAGTTCATAAATCTACGAGGCTTAGTTCTAACGGCGAACTTCTCATGTGCCGTGCCAAATTACTATTAAGTTCGGCAGAGCTCGGAAAAATAGGAACTTGATTCAAACGTCGATGTAAATTCAGTCGAACTTAATTCCTTCATATGACCTTTCGTTCCTTTAAGTCAGCGTCATATAGATAAAGTCAGAGCCCTCTATTCGTAAAGAGTTGGGACAAACGGTCTGGGGCGAGCGGAGCCGCCATTTTGGTTCCTACTTGCAAAGTGAAACTATAATAATACTAATGGAAATTGGGTTTATATGCAAAAGAAGAAAGAAATTTAAGCTTATTGCATGGTAGTATCAAATTGCGTTTTTTTAACGATTTGCGGCAGATCTGATTTAATTTCATTGGGTTGAGCTTCGTTTGCGGTTTACTAGTTCGTGCTTCAAATTGATCGTGACCCATTGTAACAAGTATTTTTCGTACGTGAACGTGTTTTCTCGGCTTATGTTCCGACTCTGTAACAAGTTTTCAAGATCTTTAAGCTTGGTGGCAAGCGGCAATGTTATCCTGTCATCAGTGTTATCAAATAGTTGGACAAGACTTTGTTCGAAACCTTGAATCATAGTAATCATGCAGTTTCGGTCCTGAGAGATTTGTGTTCAAGATTTGTAACAATTTAATGGTAGTGAGTTGCTTATGCCCTCCAATCTGATCATGAAATTTTTTATTCTGAAAGATCACAAAATTTTCTTGCTCAGCAGAAAATGACAGACTTTTTTACTTTTTAGTTATTGAAATATGCAATGATTTGCCCAAGATGCATTTGGCCTTAAACGTTTTATTCCTTTATATGAAGTTGTTTCTCCTTTAACACTTTATAAAGTATTAAAGTCTATTTCTAATGAAGTTTGTTAAGAATTTTGCTGAAAATTTTGGTGAAGCATTTTAAAATGAATGTATTATTTCTATAACATGAAACATTTCTGTTGTTGAAGAACAGTTTGTTTGCTATAAGTGCTACTGTTTGTAGTCTTTTATACAGCATCTGGTTCACATATGACTGAGACATGACTGAGGCATTATTAAGGCCAGCCTGAGATGCTTTCTGCTATTGTGGCTGAGACAGGACTGAGGCATGCCTGCGATACTTTTCAATGACATAATTCAACATTGCCGATAGACCACCAAAATTTAGCGGCAGTTTCAATATGACAAAATGGTGCTTCGTATTAGAAAATAGCGTTACAATCAGCGAATTTTGCGGTCTTTTTAACAGTCATTTCAAAATACATCAAAGATTAGTTAGCCGGCTTAAAAAAAAGGAGAAGAATTTAGATTTTATTCTTTGATTTCTGTATTCTGGACACGATTTATCATAAATAGCCCGATAGCTGCGTACTGTATCTATGAGTTTATTATTTGTATCGTAAACTGATTGGGATTGTTCCATTGAGTTTTTTCTGTTTCCATGTCCTGTGTTGCAAATGTCCTGTCTTTTTACCCAAATGCGTGATGGGAAATATTGCCGCCGGTCGATCGGAGAAGCGTTCACATATAACATAAATCACCAATTATGCGCCGTACACCGCCGCTTAGTCACCGACATGCCGGGAAACTTGAACTCAACTCAACTCAACTCTTACGGCATTTCGGCCGCATACCGCAGGTAACTCCTACGACTGCCTGAAACACCATTATTGTGCCAGCGATGAGTGTGTGCATTTGCCTTAAGAGCAACGCAGGCATCGTCACAGGTATGCCTCAGTCATGTCTCAGTCATATGTGAACCAGGCTTTAAGCCTAGCTACACTATCGTCTATATTCACGAAAACAAAAATAAAACGAAAATTCGTGCACGAAATACATGCCGGACTCGACGTAAAATTACAAGCATGTTTACAAAGATCGGCTAAAACGTAAACGGAATTATTGCTGGATGTGTCTCTGTAGTAGCCTTTGCAGTAACAAAACAAGCAAAAAAAGAAAAGGGTGTCTTCCTCTGGCAAGAAGGTACTCCTTCTGAAGTTGAAAGCAAGCATTTATCAAAACAATTAAACGCCGATATTAGATTCACCCAATTAATAAACGACGTGATTGAATGGGATTATTTAATAATTTGAATAATCCCATTCCCGTGATGGTCAAAATCCGAGCAGGCGAAGTTTTCAACTTGCTAGCCGGCGTCTTTCCGCTGACTTTGAGGTTTGGTAAAAATCTTAAGAAAGTAATCATGTAGAGTAGAAGTATAAACGCATTCAAAGTTGATACTGTCCATCTAATAAATGCCATACATTTATAATTGTTTGTCGCCAATTACAAATTGCAAAAAATCTAATGCAAATTAATTGCACCTGGTTAAATTGTACGTTTATAAACACATTTTGCAGATTACAAAGTTCTTATTGGCGTGACTATAAATACATTTTGCAGATTATAAAGTGCTTATTGACGTGACTATAAATACATTTTGCAGATTATAAAGTGCTTATTAGCGTGACTTAAGATTACAAATTACAAATTTTCTTTTTCATAAGGAAAATATAAATACATCTTTACAAGTTTAAAATTTTTTTCTATCAATTATATAATGCTTTTCATTTCGTCGTTTGACCTAATGGCTGCGTGCACCCGAATTAGGAGATCGGTAAATTTCGAAAGAAAGTAGTGTTTTGGATGACCAATCTTATAAAACAGTTGTTGTCTAGGTCGTGGTCGATCGTTCCAATGCATTCCAACATTTCGAATAAATCTTAAGCATTCTGTCCATGAAGATCCATAATTAACAATTCTTCTATTCACCTCATCCGTGCAAAAATACTTATAGACATCACCATCCATTCGACTTTGCCAGTTGGAGGAATCAGCATTCAATATTTGAGCTACACTTGAATGGGCACCATTTGTTTTGATTGACGGTTGGTCACCAACTTTACAAAGCAGATTAAACTTCTCTTCATCTGAAAGAAAATAAGGGTGTTTCAAGGCTGTCTCGGCTAATGGCCTGTCTTCTGGTTTTAGGCTTAACATCCACGATAAAAGGTCTTTAAGCACTAGATCCTTGATTTTATCCAAGCCAACTGGCTTTCCATTCACCAGATTCTTTAGTCTATCCACCGAAGATCCAAAAGCATGTTCCCCTTTAGTTGCAACATAATAAGCCACCATTCCTGCATTCTAAAATTAATGGAAAAACGCAACAGAGATATACGCAAAGTTGAAAAATTGAATTTATAAGAAATTAGCAAATGGGTACATTTCTACACCTACCATTATGTCAGACTCTCTCTTGTAACGTCCTTTATCAAATTTATCCTCATCTTTACAATACGATTCAGGAGCAATCCAATGCTCAGTTCCTTTTCTAGAACTAGTACGATATGTCTTTAAGCCATTCATCAATATTCGACTAATACCAAAATCAGCTAAAAGAAATTTTTCATGTGCATCTCGTAGAACATTGCAAGGCTTTAAATCCAGGTGAAGAATAGGATCTGAGCCTTTATGGAGATCAAATAATCCTGTTAAAATTTGTTCGAGAATTTTAGGAAGCGATTCCACAAGATTAGCTAATTCATTTGATTGCACAAAATCTTCCAGCGATTCTTCACACAGGTCAAGTACCAAATAGACATATTCTCCAGCGTCCTCCACCAAAGAGCAATAATTCACAACATGTTTTGATTCCTTAGCATTTACTTTATTGAGAATTTTCTTTTCATGGTCTGCAATGTTGGTGCAGTTGTCTTTTCGTATTCGTTTTACAGCTTTGCCGTAACCATCTTTTGCTAGTCCAAGATAAACACGAGTTTCATCATTTCCTTTGCCGATGCAAAACTCCTCTGAGAAAACTACGCGCACATCGTTCACATATTCAACCTTAACGTTGGGATCGCGCCCATACTCAATCAATTTTAACAACAAGTCTTTATGTTTTTTTGATTCATCGATACATTCCCACTCTCGAAACTGCAATTCTGAAATTAGAGTAATAGACTTTTGAAATGAGAACAACCACTAAATTTAAATAAATTAATAACAAGTAGCTAATACTTTATAAATTAACAGATAATCATTCCAGTAAGAGTGGGGGAGTGCTAATAAAAAAATTCATCTCAAAATGGTTTTATACATAGTAAAACACATTCATTGTGTATAAATGATTCCAACATGTTTTTTCCTAAAGTTTCAGAAGCATGTTTCTTGTGTCTATTTACTTTTTAGCGGAAGAATAAAAGAACGGTTCATTTTGGCTTTTAGCTTACACATCGTTGACACTACACTTTTTATTTTCGAGCCTCAACTCTATAATTGTCGACATTCAAACATTACTTTCGACGCTGAACATTTCGATTGATTCTATTTTTATTGCTACAATACTTTCATCATTGAATTTGGCAACAGGCAAAAAACAGATACAATAGATGAGGAATATTACTGTGACATGGAATTCAAGGAACCGAAGGAAGGGATATATAACTAGATCAAACAGTTTTTCAAAATGATAGCTAATGTTAATTTTTTCTAGCGTAATATTAGTAGACTTATAGATTTTTCTGTAAGTATAATACAGTTTGATTATTGTTCTAAATTTGAAAGCTAAATCAGGTATATAACCGAAGATTTACCATTCGAGAGTGACAAAATGTAGTAGCCGATATACCCTACCCCCTTCCCCCAACCAAAAAATCTTTCACTTTCTATTGCTATATGTTTGTAAATGATGATCGTCCAGGTTAATAAAGTCCTGAGAAGGACTGTTTTTGATGTTGTTGACTGACGTTTCGACAACCTTAGCGGTAGTCATCTTCAGAGTCAAATGAGGAGTAAACGTCAGGTTAGCCGTATTTATTGTCTGGTTCTTACGTCATTGTATTGTGTGTACAGGAAATGTGCAGGAAATGTGTATTGTCATTGTGGATTAGTGTGAAGTGAAATATTTTATTTTTAGTTGTGATGTGTGATTTAGGTGTGACGTTTTAGTTGTAATGTGTGGTGTCAATTGTGTATTGTCATTGTGAATTAGTTTGAAGTGTAATGTTTTAGTTGATCGTTTGTTTGTATTGTGAATAAGTCGTTTGTAAGGTGCCGGTAATTGCTGTGATCTGTTCAGGGTTTGTTCCAAGTTGGTATACCAACTTTCTAATGTAAGCCGTTGTCTATAGTCAGTACTGTAAGTGATGCATTTTGCCGACTCCCAGTCAATGTTGTGCTTTGTGATTCGGTGATGTTCGGCAATGTGATTAGTTTTGTCTTGTTTCTTAGTAGCTCGTTTGTGCTCAGTAAGTCTTATGTTTAAGTTCCTGCCAGTTTCCCCGATATAGGAGGCGTGGCAGTCGGAGCAGTTTATTTTGTAAACTGCACCTTGTCGTTCGTTGGGTTGTTCTTTGTCCTTTATATTCGTTAGTACTTGTCGTAATGTTGTGATTGGCTTATGTGCGACACGTATGTTGTATGGTCGTAAGATACGCGAGATAGTCTCAGACGTACCTTTGATGTAAGGTATCGTTGCTGTTGTCACTGAGTTGTTCGTTCTGTTGGGTTCGTTGGGTTTGTAAGTGTTGCGTTTGATAAAGTCAGAGTTATAGTTGTTTTGTCAAAACACGTTTGAGATAGTTGTTTTCGTTTTGTAGAGCGTCCGGTGAATCGCATATGATTTGTGCACGTCTTGTTAATGTTCTGATTGTGGTGGCTTTGTGTGATGTAGGGTTGTAAGATGATTGGTCTAGTAGTCGGTCAGTATGTGTTGGCTTGCGATAAACTGTTGTTCCTAGTTTTGATTGTCATGTTTTACCAAACAGTCGAGAAAGGAAGAGTTCCGTTTTCTTCGACATCTTTGGTAAATTGTATGTGGCTGTTCTGTTTGTTGATGTGAGTATGGAAGTCATCAATCTCGTCTGCATGTAGTGCTGTGATTGTGTCATCTACGTAGCGAAACCAAAAAGGTAGTGCATGTTTGTAAGTCATGAGTGCCCGTTCCTCTATAGATTGCATTACAATTTCAGCAACTACAACAGAAACGGGCGAGCCCATTGCTGTCCCATGTAATTGTTTGTAGTGTGTTCCTTTGTATTGAAGTAAGTCGAGGTGAGGCAGAGCTCTAGTAACTCCATAATGTCTTCTGTCGGTAATGGCAGTACGTCCGTGGTGTTTGTAATGAGGGTTTTTGTACAAGTAAGTGCCAGATTAAGTGGAATACTGGTGAACAGTGATTTCACATCAAAAGACACTAGTATATAGTTGTCTGGTATTTGTATAGTGCACAGTTTTTAATGAAAGTTTCAGTGGATTGTAGCTTGTGTTTTGATTTGTTTGTGAGTGGTTGCAGTATGTTAGTCAAGTACTTTGAAAGTTCAAGTAGGCGAACCACAGAATGATACAATTGGTCGCATGGGTATTTGTGGTTTGTGAAGTTTTGGTAGTCCGTATAGTCTGGGTGGTCGTGGGTACTGAACATCTGAGTCGATAGTAAATACGTTCAGATATAATGTTAGATTTTTCTCATAGAAGATCTTGCTGTTAAGTTTGCGTACTAGTGATGGTGTTGGGTCTCGTTTGAGTTGTTCGTACGTTTGTCTGTCGTTAACAAGTGCGTCCATTTTGTTAAAGTAATCATTCCTGTCCATGACCACAGTCACGTCCTTTGTCTGCTGGTAAAATGACGATGTTGTTGTCGTGTTTTAGTCGTTTGAGTGCTTGTTGTTCGTCTTTTGTCAAGTTGTTGTCACGTATAGAGGACGATTGTAAAGTGGAGGCTATCCTGCTGATCTCGTCTTTGTTGTCTCTGACAAGTCTCTTTGATACGCTAGGACAGCCTCGACACTTGATACTATCGTCTCAGTCGGGATTTGTTTAGGTGTTATGGAATGTTTTAGTCCGTAAGATAGTAGTCGCGTTTCAGTTTCGTCTAATGGGCGGGAAAATATTCTCACCCAGTTATCGTCATGTTTATGTCGTGTTTTAGTTTGTTTTAAACGTTCAAGTTTTTGTTGTTGTTTGATTTGGTGTTGTGTCTGTCTTGTTTGCTCGTTTCTCTGCAATGTTTATGGTAGAAGTAAACTATCACTTACTGTCGTTGGTAGAGTTCCTTCAGTTTGTTCAGTCTTTGTTCTTGTTGTTTTGATGTAATGGTTTGAT